ATAAACTTAGGAGTTGAACTTATTATTATGAAAAATTTGTTTATTGTAATTGGTTATTAATGAAAAAATAATTCGGAAGCAATATAAAAATAGAACAGCACATTTTCCTGTATATTTTTAGTAAAACATACCTATCAAAAAATGTACACTTCCTAAAAAACGGAACCAGTTTATAATTATAACAAAAATGATATAATCACCCCTTTTTATAATGTTATCATTATAGAAGATACATAGTGTTTGTAATAAAGCGCGTTTTGACTAAAAACATATATTTCAAATTCAAACAAAACAAATAAGCATTTAATTTATATATATCGAAACACGTAGATTTGGTGAATAAAATGAATATATGTGATATAATTGATGTAGTTGTTATATAGATAACAATTTAAATTATTTGATGTTAAAATCGATTACAAACTATATTTCTAATATTATTTTACCATTAATTATATAAATTCTAAAATAATAATATAATAATTATAAAATAATAATATATTTTTTTAAATGACAATAATGTTAAAATAATGTTATTTAAACACACCTAATAACAAAGATATTAAAATAATTTTTGTTTTAAAAAGGATAATTTAAAAAAATATTTTAAATTAACGACTATCTGTTATTCCACGACAATGGATCAATAAAAAAACAGACAAACAATTGTTACTTATTATACTATTAACAGTTATAGTTAAAAATATTAGATAATTCATAATGTATTGTTTATTCGATTGATTTTGTAACGAATTGTGTTTTGTGTTTTCAAATAGATTTTTTTGTTTAAAATTTAAAAATAAATACAATAAGGTTACCCCGTTTTGTTTAATTATTTTAATAATGCAAGACATTTATAGTTATTTTTAATTAGTAAAAACTATTGTAACAAATTAAATGCAAAGAATATTTTTGGTGTTTATTTGGAGATTGCTAAACGATAAAATGGTTTAAATTAATTAAAAGTACTAATTAAATCTTACATAAAACAACGTCACTTGCTCCAAACAAATAAGTTTATGATAAAAAAGAAATTACTTGATATAAATTTGAATTAACACAATTATTGAGTTAGTTATTTCAAGATTTGTGATGAATAGATTTATAGTTTCAAGTTGCACTATTTTAAACAACAATGTGCAAAATTAATTTATAATCAAAAATTATCATTTTTTAATCCTTATATCCCGAAAAACATTTGAATATCTAATAAATATCGTAAATCAACATTAAATAATTGTGTGAAATAACACACAAATTTCTTGTTATATTTGGAATAAAAATTCAAAAAATAAATAATTACTCATTACTATAAATAACTTTGCCGCCTTGCATTTGATTTGACGAAAAAAATGCGAAAATTTGCTACATCATCAGAATTTAAGAAATCACATTAACTATCAAACGGTGAAGTTATCACCACTGGTAACGAGAGATCTAGATGCTTAGGAACACCCTTCCAGTCATCATTCCTTGGTGTGGAAACATCAGGTATCCACGATACCACTCACAATTTAATCATGAAATGCAATGTCGATATCAGAAACTAGTTGTACGGAAACATCGTATTCTCAAATTGAACATCAACCCAAAAATCAACGATAGACAAGAGAAGGAGAAAGTTGCAATTGAAAAACGAATAAGCATAATCAAGGATGTTTATTCTTGATTCAATTAATTATATTTGTTTAGGTGTTAATATGGTTTACTTTAAATTATTATTGATAAAATAAATCATACAATTTAAATAATTCAATTATCTTTTTAATTATTCACAAGTTGATTATTATAGTTTGTTTATAATTAAAATTACTATACAATTTATTATTCTTATGTCACGCATTGTATAATGTATCCAAAACTGCTATTTTTCTCGACTTAAATTGATGTTTTATAGCGTTGTTTTACCATATGAGATAATTGTTTTAATGTTATTGTTGTGTTAATACAATAACAAACAAAAATGATAATAAACAACGGGTTTTTATCGTAATATTTTGATGTTATTTGGTTCTCTAAGTATTTTTAGTTTGAGTGGAATCCATTTTTTATTTCAACAAAAATATTTTTGTCATCTTTTTATTTTATTTTGGGTTGAACAAATCTTATTGGTTATATCTACCCACAAATTTGCACACTTTTTAAGTGTTTTTTATTTTGTTTTTTAAGAAACTTGAATATCTGATAATATGATTTAATCAATTTTTATTAACATTTTTATTTGTTTATAAAAACAGTTTATTTTCGTATTATTTATATTACTAATATTAATTTGTTAAATTGTATATTTTTTTGATTGAAGGACGAATCTACAACAAAAACCAATTAATTTGAGTTTATGAATGATGAAATGTTTTATAAATAATTCAAAAGTTTGAATTTGAGTTGAACTATTTGATCGAATAAGTCAAAAATCATTCTAAATTGTTCATGAAAAGTCGCCATTATTTTCATTTTTTTGGAAAGTGAAATTATTTTTTGAAATTTTTTTCTGAAAAAAAAGAAAAAAAATAAAAATTTGTCAGTCCTCGAAGGGTTAATATATTTTGTACAATCTATACATGTTTTATTTATCATTATTTTCCTTTATTTTTGGTTTTTTTTGATTTAAAATTTTATTATCTCATTTCAATTTAATTATTTTAAAAAAGATGAAATATTATAGGGTTTCTTGAGGATAAGGTGTATCCTCAGGATCAAAGCTATCCTTATTAAAAAATATTTTTCTGAGGATACAAAAATCAATTTCATAAGGTTTAGTTCCCCATAAGGCCCACTTTCATAACTCAAGTTATAATTTACACTTAATATTTTGAGTCAAAGTTCAAATTTTAAATAATGGTAATAATTTGTCATAAATGCCAAAAGATTAAAAACAATCAAAAAATCGCCACAATAATCAGTGAACAAAAACAATAATTATATCTCGCGAACTTGAGACGGGAAATAACAAAGGGTGAATTGTACTTGTTCACATTATAATTATAAACTTATTGATATTATTTACGAATCCGTCTTTATAACATAATAATTGAAATTTACATTTAAATTGATAATTGTTTTTTTTCAAAATGAAAATTGAAAAAGTCGAAAACACTGATTTTCTAAAAATGTGATTTTAGAATAACAAATTTATAAATATTTTTGTAATTTATGCAATTATTCAAATCTATAAAATAACAAAGTTAATCATGTTGTGTATATTTTAATATGAATGTTTCATTTTGATATTAACTTGTGTTTTAAACAGATTTACAGTTCTGAGGATGGCAATTATTTTCTGAGGATGACAGAAATAGAAAGTTTACACTTTACATTTGTCTGAAATGTATATTGAGTAAGTTACTATTTTTGAATATGGGAACACGTCATTTCACTTTTTAGATGTTTAAGTCCGTGTTGATAATGTCTGTTTGTTACACGACTTACCATCCTCAGAGATATTTATAGCACTGCCACTATTGATTTAAAATTATATAAATAAAATTATCAAAGAATTTTTATAAAGTGTGTTTTGTTAATTGATTATATCAAAAATCGTCAAAACACAACAAAAACGCCAAATAATATATAAAATTGATTAATAAATTGAACACATTTCTATTGAGAATTATTATTGTATAATAAAAAATAATATAAACATTTATTTCTTGTGTATATATGTTTTGAAATATAAATAAAACCGTTTAAAACAAAAATGATTTTATTTACAAATTTGTTTATTTATCAATCGTTGTTTTATCGTTATCCAAAACCTCTCGTTTTGAATTTGCGCAAATACATAAATTGTCATCACATAAAGTATACGTTATTAATACGTTATTTGCTATCAATTTTTATTGTTTAAAATATCATGAATTGGTTTATAAATAAATTGTATTTTTTTGTGAAAAAGATTAAAAATTGTGAGATTAATTTGTTTTGTGATTTTGATTAAAAAATCGACTTTTTCGATAATTTAAATGTCTGTCAAATGTTTCCATTTAAACTAAGGTTAGTCTTGTGGTAAATCAAAAAATAGAAATAGATTATTTTTTTTGTAAAAATCAACTGAAAGAATCATCTTTCAAAAAATCCATAAATAGCATTTTAAAGAAAATCATGTGTTTCAAAATATACCTTTTTGATCTTAGGCAAAAAAATCTAAATTGAAAGAAATTATGTTTAAGATATTTACCATCCTCAGAAAAATTAATAATCCTCATGAATCCCTCAACATTACACAAACCAAAAAGAAAAAAAATAGAAATTATTTTATTAACTCAGTAAATAGTTATTTTTTAAAAAAACAGGGTGTTTTTTAGTGTTAATAAAATATTTTTATCATTATAAAACGGTTTTCAATTAAAAATATGAAATAATTACAAGAAGAAAATAAAGAGTTGAATGTTTGAATTAAACTCATAACATGTTAATTAAAAATGTTTAATGTTAATACATTGAGTGAATCAACAATAATGTTTATCGTTTTTCTTTCTTTTGGATTTTGGTTCCAACACTTTACAATCAGTTGAAATAGTGTTTCTGGTATATTTCTTCTATTTTCAAGACGTTCTCCAGATGAAACAAACTCGGCTATTTTCCAAGCAAATTTGAATGTGTCAATTAGGTATGCTTGAGACCATCCAAACACTTCAAACATAGTAATAGCAAAGGAATAGATGTCAGCTGGTTTTTTGTACTTCTCCATTTTTAACACTTCCGGAGCCATGTATACTGGTGTTCCAATACCATTTGTAAATGTCATGTTAGTCAACAACATGTTGACATTTCTTGATGATCCAAAATCAGTCAACTTTGCGTTTACATTGTCGTTTAAATCTAAAGTAAATACGAGAATGTTGTCTGGTTTGATGTCTCTGTGTAATATTTCGTTTGTATGAAGATACAATATTCCTCTTGCTGCATCTAACATGAATTTAACTCTTACATTCATATTAACTTCATCACTTGTTTTGTGTTTTATCAAATCATGTAAACTCCCAAATTGTGCAAATTCAGTGACCATACACATTTTATTAGGTATGAACACTGCTCCATAGAAATGGACGATATACTCACACCTAAATTTATCAAGCATTGCAACTTCTTTTTCGAACTCTTCTATTGACCCATTATCACTTAAAACACTTTTCATCTTTTTAATAACAACAATATTTGATCTGAAACTCCCTTTGTA